TATATATATATATTTGGTTCACATTAATAAATGTGTATTCAGTTGAATGTTAATTAGTTGCAGATGTGTTAAAGTAATCTTTGCTAAATGTCGTAGAATTCAGATTTTATCCGGTGTTTTCGGAAATCTCTATTCGATGGGTAATTGGTTCGGTAAAAAGCATCATACAAGTCCAGTCAAAAGAAAAGCGCCACCAGTTACGGAAAGGGATAAAGCGATACTGGTAAGTGAACAAATCTGTGAATGTTGTGTTAATTTAATTTTTCAACCGGTTATGTCTGTACTTTTTTGGAAGCAGACAACCTACTCTACATAAATAATCTTTTGTGCTATTGCTTTTTATTTTGCACTTTTTACTAATCGGTATCTTTATTAAATGAATTTTTTTACGTTGTTGCTGCAACTTCAGACTGGTTTACTGCACTGTTTACGTAGTTTAAGTTTGATTAAACTTGTAATTTCAGGAACTGAAATTGAAGCGAGATGAAATTCAAAGATGTGTTCAGAGGCATGAATATCAGATGGAAAATCAAAAGAGAGCTGCTAAAGAATTACTACAAGCTGGGAAAAAAGAGTATGTTCTCTAGTTTACTGAAAGTGATATATAGAAAAATTGAAAATGGTAGTTGAATCTAAGTTTCTTCAAATTATTTTACTTTTACTTTTGCTTTCTTTCAAAGTTTGGTATACTGGTATGGAGTTTTTGCCGGTGGTTTTCGTATAATATGGATGTTTCATTTTACTGCAATGAATATTTCTTTATTCTACCTTTTTTCTCCTTTTTTTATTCGAGAGTGAATATGTTGCAAACTTCTTTCTGATAGACAGAAATGTTTATCAGAATTTGCACAGTATTTTAGCTGAAATATTTTTGTGTTAAATTCGGAAGTTGGAGGTGATTTTGAGAGTTTTACTGCTTGTCATCGTTCATTAAGCTAGTTTGCTAAGCTGCAAATGAAAGGTACTTTCTTCGTTTCTTAATGTTGAACCAAGTCATTTTAGTCGCGCACTTCTAATCTTGAAAAAAAAGCGGTTGTTGGAAAACCTAATCAACAGAAGTCTAAATCAGCTTAATACTCTGGAGAAAATGGTAGGTTTTTAAATTTACTGTCGTTTTCTACTTATGTTTTTCACTTACCGATAAGCAGATGGGAAAAAATTTGTTGTTTTGATTATGCTTCCTCTCCGTTTAGGTGTACAGCATTGAAGAAGCTTCTATGCAAGCTACCGTTGTTGAAGGGTTGAAATCAGGGAATGAAGCTTTAAAAGAAATAAACAAGGTAAGTCACACTTTTGTTTATGAGAGTCATGGTTCAAAAAGTTTTTTTTGTTCGGACTTTTTTTTATGAATTAAGCCTGCATTTTCCTGTCAACATTGTAGATGTTTTCTATCGATGAAGTTGAGAAAATTATGGATGAGACTCGAGAGGCTGCTGAGTATCAAGAAGTAAGTTTTAGCTACCTTTAATATTACAATTTTACACTGTTTTATAGTTCATTCTGTTACAGTTATTGTAGCGCTGTTTTGGCTGTAAACTTCCAGTATTGATTTACTCTAGGAAATCTCGAGGATCATGCAAGATTCTGGTGCTCAGTTGACGGAAAATGATATGGAAGAAGTAAATGCGGAGTTGGAAGCGTTAGTTGCTGGTGAAACTGAAAATTTACAGTTTCCTGCTGTGCCGTCGGAGCCATTACCTTCAAGGGAAGAAAAAGAAAAAAGTATCTCTTAAAATCCTTGTTTTTGGAGGATATTTTACACGCAGAGTTTCGAATATATTTTTTTGGTAGTTAACAGCTTGAGAATTTATTAGACATTGTTGGGTGTTCTTTAAATAATGGTTTTTGCATTCTATGTTTTTCCAGCCCCTGCCGCGAAGAAGGAATCTCGTAGAGTTGCGTTAGAAGCGACGTAGACAGTGTAATTTTTCTTTATATCAGCTCATTTACAATTTGTTTCTCTGTATACAAAGTTTTTTGCACTTTCTTTGAGACAGATGTTGAAAGAGTTTTATTCTTTTGGTACTGCTTCTGAATGACATATATAAGGTCCTTAATTGACCAGTGTGTTGTTTTTTCTTGTCAATTCTTAATGATGTTGTACATAGAAATTTTAATTTTTTTTGAGCTGCAGTTCAGGATTTTTGACCCTTTGCAGCTGTGGGTTACTTTCTTTGTAAAGAAGTTTTTCGGGTAAAGGCTTGTTGTATGACTACGTTATTTGTGAGACGTGAATTTTTTGACGGGAAAATGGATTTGTGTGTAACAGTCGGTCATTATGGTGAATCTTTTTTGACTTTCGACGAGCAATTTGTTGTCTTGTGCTTGTAATGTATTTTTAGCCTGTAACTGATTTAGAAGTCGGTTTTGATGAGATTTATTGTTTTTCTTTTTGAACTGTTATTCTTTTTCATTCTGTTTTTTCTGCATTTGCTTGAAGCCTTATGGTATAAGAAGAAAGTATTTGTATTTAATGTGACAGTAAGCATCTGTGATGTGTTTTTCTTTGGTTTTTTGTTTGATTCTTTTTCAAAGCAGCTTATTAGTCAGGCTTTTTGTACTGCCTTGTAATCAGTTTGGTTATGTTGTTAATTCCAGTTTGTTCGACCTTTCTAAACTGATAGGGGACATTCTGGGTATTTTGGATCGCGTAATGTTTGCTTTTATTTTCTTCTCTTGCTTGGCATATCTTTACATGTACTGCTGGAGTTCTTTTGAGTTGCTGCAATTTTTTGAAGGCGATAGTTTGTATGCATTTCTGTTCTTGATTTCTTGCATTCAAGGAGGAAAAGAAATTGTTGAAGAAGATTAAGAATTATTTTTGGTCTAGTCGGTAGAATAAGGATTAGAATTCATTTCTAAAAATTGCGTTAGTGGGAAAAGCTGCAGTGGATAATTAGGAAAGAACTTTACGTGGTTGTATGCATGTTATATATGTTTATTAATAGTTATTGTAAAAAAAAAAA